GGGGAGGAGAGGAGGGAGGAGGAGGTCACCGGAGAGGAGGAGGAGGACGTCACCGGAGAGGAGGAGGAGGAGGTCGCCGGAGAGGAGGAGGGTAGTATGGTGGAGGAGAGAAGGGACGATGGAGTGGAGGAGAGGAGGAGATGGAGTGGAGGAGAGGTGGAGTGGAGGAGAAAAATGAAGGAGGAGAGGACCACGCCCAGCCATATATATGGCATAGTAATGGCGCACCGCGGGCAGGTGCGCCATTATTAACTTTTTTTTATTTTTTTTATTTATTTTGAATTTTAAAGGCGGGAAGATACTAATGGCGCACCATGGGCAGGTGCGCCATTAGTAACTTTTTATTTTTATTTTTTTGACTTATTTTGAATTTTGAAGGCGGGAAGATAGTAATGGTGCACCATGGGTAGGTGCGCCATTAGTAAGTTTGATTTTTTTTGAATTTTTTTGCCTCTCCAGATCTTAAAAGCCCCGTATCTTTTTTCGGTTAGGTTTGTGAGGATTTTGAAAATGTTTAACGGGGTACCCCCGTTAAATTCGGATGTAACTTTTCGAGTAGATGATTTTTCATATAAAAAACTTTTTCATCCGAGTTCGTACGCAAAAGTTATGCCCATTTTACAAATTCTCGAGAGATTTTGTAAATAAAGTCGAAATTCATATTTGTAAATTTTCACAACAACTAGACCACATATCACATGGGAAACTTATTTTCTTTTATTTTTTTGACATTTCCATCATTTTTGTTTATTTTTTTAAAAACTGAAAAGGCGGTCCGGGAGGGGGGGGTGCATTCGGTGGAAGTGGTGGCCAAGTTACTAATGGCGCATCATGGGGGTGGCGCGCCATTACTAGTTCAACTAGAGTAATGACGCACCACTCCCACGGTGCACCATTAATAGTTCAACTAATAATGGCGCACCACTTCCACGGCGCGCCATTAGTAGTTTTGATGATTTTTTTTTTAAAATTTTTTTACTAATGACGCACCGTGGATGTGGTGCGTCATTAGTATTTGCACACTAATGGCGCACCAACACATGGTGCGCCATTAGTATATAGTAATGACGTACCACATGTCTGGTGCGCCATTAGTGTCAATTCCATCTATAGCCCTTTTCCTAGTGGTGATATTTATCTTTACTTACTGTGTACACTAATTTCCCTTGCACCTGCAAACATAATCTATAATTGTCTGGACATGCATTGCACCTTCTATGATTTTGCTACATTGAGAAATGCATAATATTATAGTTAAACTATGAAATTCTTGAAACTCATTTAAATTATACTCCCTCCATTCCATAATAACTGTGTGGTGTATTATGAAACTTGGACAATGCATGTAAATTCTCACATAAGGTTGTAATATTGGTTGAGACATGCGTTGTTAAGCGTGTATCCTTACTAGTGCGAACAGAGGTGTCATTGTGCGGAGCATCAAGACTAGAACAAAGAAAGGCATCGTGTCATAAGAAAGATACCATCAAAACAGACATTCGTATCTTGCTGCACTGCAATTATTCACAATGAGTTTGCCTTTCTTAAGATCCGTGGATCAAATTGGTTTTTGTAAATTGTGATACTAAACACAATTATCATGTTAATTGTACATCTTTGTTTATTTTCACAAAGTTTTCAAAGTAATAAAATATTATTAAGCATCAAGTAATTCTAAACGAATCTAACATGCGTTGATGCAAGGCATGATGCCTGCAATACAATATACAGATCTTCCTATTCGTCGATGGCTCTTTCGATTCTCGGTGATGATTATCTCGATCATTTTGGTTTATGGTCATCTAGCTTTGGAGCTTAAAACTCTTCTGTTTAATTTCATAAAAGCTATATCGTGATTAAAATAGAGTAATAGATTGTTTGACAAGACATAACTGTACTGAATGTAGCACAGTTGTATGGCTACAGAGAAGGCCCCATGTATCGAGGAAATCTTGCCTCTTGATAGTAACTCTGTAATTCTGGAATAAAAACCTTTTTTCCTGCAAAAAAATGTAATTCCAAAGAAAGGAAGTAGATTTGAAATGAAAATCTAAGCCCTGATTTTTTTTTCAAAAGTAAAGCCTGCCAAGTGGGACTCAGTGAAACCCGGGACACCACATAGTGCCTCCCATGAGGCCAGCACAACCGGCCAGAAGAACACCAGTGCTACGATGATATGAACTCTTGGGCAGCAGTTGAATCTGAGATCCAATGGTCCTAAGAAGTCTATAACTTTTTGCATAAAAGCCCCTTAAAAATTTAAAAATTGTGTATAGGTTCAGCTGATCCATAACTCCACGATGCCGTTTCGTTTGAGATCCGACGGCTTAGAAATCCGTATCACGATAGCATCTGAGGCTTGGTAGCACTATTTTCCACTAGCCGCCCGGTGTCCTCCTACCTGCCATCTGTTGCTTGGTCCCAAATTAATCAATCCACAAAATCAAACCGCTGCTTGGTCGTTAAGCCTCTGGCTGCCTTCTACACGGCCACAACCTATAGATCCCCATCCCCATCCCCACACAGCCAAACCAATTGCAACTCTCTCGCACTCTCCTCCTCCTCCGACGAATCTCGAATCACAAGCAGCGGAACCGATCGATGGAGGAGGCCTGCGAGATCGCGCGCCTGCCGGAGGAGCTCGTCTCGGCGGCGCTGGCCCGCACGTCCCCGCGCGACGCCTGCCGGGCCGCGGCGGTGTCCCCGGCCTTCCGCGACGCGGCCGACTCCGACGCCGTCTGGGCCCGCTTCCTGCCCCCCGGCGGCCTCCCGCCGCTCGCCGACGGGGAGCTGGCCGGCCCCGCCCCGCCCTCCTCCAAGAAGGAGCTCTTCCTCCGCCTCTCCGCCGGCCCCGCCCTCCTCCAGGACAGGCTCGTGGTACGTGCCTGTACTGCACGCTGATTCCTAATTCCCCCAACAGATTCGGCCGATCTCTAATCAATTGATGGTCGTGTGGACGCAGAGTATGTGGCTGGACAGGGAGACCGGCGCCAAGTGCTACATGCTGTCCGCCAGGAACCTCTTCATCGTGTGGGGCGACACGCCGCAGTACTGGACCTGGATCCCGCTCGAGGACTCCAGGTTCGTTCGTCGCTATCTCCTATTCCGGTGCAGACTGTCCGAATTGTTTCTAGCCTGTGTTCCTGAATGTTTCTGAATGTTGCTGCTCATCTAACTGCAACTGCATTTGATTTGATTGTGCTGTTGCTTTGCGGTCTCACGCGCTTGATTGCAATTAATTTGACGAGGTTATATAGGATGGTAGATCAAACTACCTTTGCCGTGAGCCAAAAACTCAGAATAGGGATTTCTGCATGGTTCTGACTAGCAAAATTTATGATAAGAACATAGTTCAAATCAGTTGTTGAAGATCTCGAAACTGTTTGGAAGTGGTTAAGTTGAAGTCAGTTTCCTTGTTCCTTTACACACAAGCAGAACTGAGTGCTACTTTTATCTTCCACGCTGTCAAGAGCAAAGGGCATGCCCTTTACAACTTTGTTCTTTCTGAACTATGCACAGCACATAGATGACACTTTGCATAAACAATACGATTTCTATGATCCAACTTGTTTACATTAGGCAATATGTTGTTAATACCAAGTTATAAAATCTTGCTGCAATGCTAGATCGTTTTCTGCAACTTACGCTGTTGATTGGTTTTTGCCTTTGTTACAAATCCTGACCCTATGTTTGCGACAGGTTCTCCGAAGGTGCTCAACTCATGCATGTTTGCTGGTTCGAGATCCGCGGGAAGATACATAGCAGCATGCTCTCCCAGTACACGACCTATGCCGCCTACATGGTCTTCAAGACGACCGATAATTTCTATGGGCTGGATTTTCCAGTCCAGGAGGCATCGATCAGCGCCGGAGCAACCAACTCAACCCGCAAGGTTTGCCTCCAAGGTAATGATGACGACGACGGCGAGGGTGGGGTGCCCGAGAACTACCGGCCGATGGTTCCCTTTCCGCGGCTAAGACTCAGGAGAAGGAACCGCCGCGTAGTATCCCACGAAGAGAATGTCACGCTCCCACAGCAAAGGGCCGACGGGTGGATGGAGCTGGAGCTGGGCGAGTTCCTCAACGAGGGGGTCGACGACGGCGAGGTGTCCATCAGCCTGGTGGAGACGAAAGGCGGGAACTGGAAGAGCGGCCTCATCGTGCAGGGCATCGAGATCAGACGGAAGAAATCGGGCTGAGTGAGGAGCCCCTGGGATTCGACTCGCCCGGGTCCGATGTAAATGAATAAGGGAAAACATATCATCTGTAGTGTGTGGTTTTGAACACTTCTCCTTTTGCTGCTAAAGCATACTATGTGTACAGACTATGCTACCTACTATGACTGATGAGTTACGGGTTAAGCAGATTTGCGTCTGGCTATGTGAGATCCTTGTGTCTAGTGGCTCCTTGGCATCTGGTTATGTGAGATCCTCGTGGCTTTTCGGCAATGAACAAAAGGTTGTTTTCGCGCAGGATTCTGCAGAATCTCTTCATATATGTTTCTGTCACTATCTTATTTGCCCTGGCTGCGAGCATTTAGTTTTCAATTTCCTTGGGCCGACTGTGAAGACTAGAAGAAGATCAAATTGGATTCAAAAAGCAGCACAAGCCTTTGAGGAGAAACTATGTCAAGGAAAGAAGAGAGTTTCAGCGAGAAAAATGCGCTAGGAAAAATTATGTGAAAGAAAGGAGAGTTTCTGCAGCAATAGGATTATTTTTTCCTCTGGCCTTTGAGGAAAAACTATGTCAAGGAAAGAAGAGAGTTTCGGCGAGAAAATGCGCGAGGGGAAATTATGCAAAAGAAAGGAGAGTTTCTGCAGGAATAGGAAAAGGAAAAACAATGGGGCGAGAGAGGCTCGAACTCTCGACCTCAGGATCACTCGCATGTTTTAGCTATGAGACCTACGCGCTAGCCAACTGCGCCACCGCCCCTTCGTTGTTCTCTCGGCATGCCCTACCTCCTTTATATTCGCTGAGTATGCATATTTTCACACAGGTTTGTTGGTTTCAGAGAACAACAGTAATAAGCAGCAGCATGGCAAGATGGAGCAACAGTCATTTGTGGTTTTGTTTGTGTGCATACAGATGATATATGTACCCACCGGTGGCGATGTCAGGGTATAAACGACCTTTGGGACCAGTGCTTCTGCATGACCAAACACCGGCATTAGTAGATATTTGACTCTGGTTTTGGACACAATCTTGAGTATCTTCAGGGGGTGGCAGTTCAGCATTAGTACTCGTTATACAATGGTCTTCTTTTTTTTCCTTTTTAATAAAGAGAGATTCCTCTACGATTTCTATTATGAGAAACCACATATTGTGTTCTTACAACTACCAGCGACATAGACAGGAAAATGACGACGCATGATCAAGACAGAAATGAGCGTGCACTAGATCAAGCAATAAAGAAACACCCGCGTCGCCCCTGCTCGGGCGACTCGGGCGGCGCCCAAACCCTAGCCGCCGGGGCCGCGGTCTCCCTCTTCCTCTCCCTCCACCGCCGCCGGTGGCGGGGGACTCCCTCTCTCCCCCGTCTTAGGGGTGGTGCGGTGCCCCTAAACGTGTGGTGGTACGGTCAATTCAATCTATGCGTCGCGGCGGCGATGGTTGCGGCAGGCGGCAGCGTGGTAGCCGGCCCTGCCTTGGGCGGCGGCAGCTGCAGGTGCGACACATTACTGTACCGTGAAGGGTGGTGGCTGCGGTCGGCGGCGGCGCGCCATCGGGCGTCGGATCGGCGGCGTCGGCGTGGAGGGCTTGGTGGACTATTCGGCGGCGCCTCTGGTCAGATCTGATCTGGCCGGTGCAGCGACGATGGTGGCCATCTCCTTCGTCGAAGGTGGTCGGCCTGAGGCTGGATGGCCGGATCTCAACATCCGTCATCTAATCCCGGCTGCGAGTCGGGAAGATAGAGTTGCCGGTGAAAACCGAGCCGTTGGCAGGTGATGGCGGTGTTCTGCGTCGTTACCTTGATGAAGGCATCATCGTGTAACTTTTGTCGACCCACTTGTGCTGCTTCGGGGGAAACCCTAGGATCCGGTCTTCCAGATCGGACGATGACGGTACTGTGGTGTCGTTTCTTCCTTGGGAGCATCGTTGGTGAAGCAACGCTGAAAGACAGAGACAGGAGGTGGAGCGGCTTTGTCTTGCACGAAGCTTCGGCGGAGATGTCAAGTCATGCCAAGCTGGCAGGTGCTACGCACGAAAGATCCTCCAGAATTTTCGCGTCTGGATGGACGAGTGCAGGGCGCTGGCGCCGTTGGGTGTCGTGGTGGCGTCGACGGATGGACGAACTGACAAGGATGATCCGGATCTCTCTCCTGAAGATGGGCCAGCAGTCCGATGATGATGGCGACTTCTAAAACGTGTGCATGTGATGTACGCTTTAGGTCTGCTATACCGGCTATTTGTTCCGATGCGTTATGTGGATGGATCGGCGACGACACCGATTTTAGATATGAGAGTGAGAGCACTTCATATTATCGATTTTTGTAGGTGTGAGTGATGGCTTTGGGTGGCTTGATGTATGTTCTTGTTAGACCTATGTTCAATAATAAATAAAGATGATCTTATGCATCGATTGATGCAGAGGCCGAGGGATTTAATCTCCTTTTCAAAAAAAAATATGATCAAAACGGAACAAACTGAGCTATCGATAGCTGCCCATCAAATCAAAACCATAAAAAGGGCACATTTTGGATCGAATGACCAACAGCAAATGGCCTGTTGTTTTGAATAGCATAGTCTCTCAACCACATATTGAACTCTTGCAAGCATCAAAACTTGACGCCTTTTTTCAAATAAGCATACTTGTCCTCATTCTTTGGCCTTGGATCGCCGACTTTCGAGCACGGTGTTGGTTTAATCAAACCCAATCTCATGCCACCATGAACAATGACCATGTCGGCAAGACTAAGATCATGAAACAATAGGACACCACTTTCCTTGCCAGTCACCTTCGTGAAGATTTGATTTTCTTGCTCCGTGAATCCATCCTCGTCCAATTCTTCCTCCGGAGCCTCGTCATCCAAGCCATACCTATACATACGGCTATAGGGGAGGCTACGATCCATGTCTTGTTGGAAGACAATGACATTCAAGTTACCGATGGCATGATAATGAATCTCTCCATCTTCCGCATAAGCATCACCATGAGAAATAGCGTGAGCGTCATCATGAGCAATAGCATGATCGATCATCACCATGAGCAATAGCATCAATCTCTTCCTCTTGAATTACTATGGCTCTAGCATTCATCCCTACTTCATTTGGTTGGCTACTTGGTGGTTGGCTAGAAGAATTGGGGACATACACCTTGACTGTACCATCATGCATTGGGGAGGAGAAATTTCGGTTCAAGTCGATTTGTAGCCGAGGAATTTCAACCTTTGTGTCAAACAATTCAAGTGACTTGTCTTTCAATTCCTTAACTTTATTCTTGTACACTTTTCAATGCAATTCCGAGGTGATAGGCATACTCTTCAATTGAGAATTTACTCCCACTCTAACTTTGTACCTTTCAATAAGTTTAACCTCATCATTTGGGTCGACGAGGCGGTCGGCGACGGCGAGGTGTCCTTCAGCCTGACGGAGACCAAAGGTGAAAACTGGAAGCGGGGCCTCATCGTGCAGGGCATTGAGATCAGACATAAGAAATCAGGTTGAGCGAGGCGCTCCTAGGATTCGACTCACCCAGGTCAGAGTAAATGAACAAGGAAAGCATATCTTCTGTAGTGTGAGGTTTTGAACGCCTCTCCTTTTGCTGCTAAAGCATATCTGTATAGACCGTGATACCCAGATGACTGATGAGTTAGGGGTGTTCGGTTTGCTAGATGACGCATGCCGTTTGTAGGCTTTGGTTAGGCATATTTGCGTATGGTTATGTGAGATCCTTCTGTCTAGTGTCTCCTTGGCATCTGGTTACGTGAGATCCTTGTGGCTTGTTGGCGTATCTACAAAGTTTAGTTGAAGATGTAAGTGAAAATGCATGGCTCTTTTGTATCTACTTCCTCCGTCACGGTTTAGAAGGCGCGCTTGGAAATTCTCTGGGACCTAGGTGGTTATCTATTGGTTGTGAGATGGGCTAAAAAATAGCATTCACGCTACGCATGCATATAGAAATAGTGGACTCAGCTCCCCTGACGTACTGCAGGGTGCAGTTGGCTCATTGATAGGTGGGCCAACCTGCTTCTGGGCCCACACGTCAGTGGCCCAACTGCTCCCTGCAGTACGTCAAAGGAGCCTCGTCCGAAATAGTATATCGGAGTACTAATTAGCTACTAAAAATAAATGCAATGCGCCATAAACCTTGTCTATTGTAGAAACGCACGCAAATTTAACCGTGCCTTCTAAACTATGACGGAGAGAGTACAAAGGTAGTTAAGACGTCAAAATGCCATACATTTTCGCTTACATCTTCACTCATATATGCTTGCATATCTGTAAGAATAGATATTGCATGTTAGAAAGGTCATGCACTACTTTTCTAGAACAGATAAGGAAAGAGAAGGTTGGTACAGTTCATTATTTCACAAGAGTCAGGACCTTGTAATACAGAATCTCTTCATATAAGTATGTTTCTGTCACCATCTTCCTTGGGCCGACTGTGAAGATTAGAAGAAGATAAAATTTGATTTCCAAAAGCAGCACAAGCCTTTGAGGAAAAAACTATGTTGAGGAAAGGAGAGAGGGCTTCAGCGAGAAACGGCGAATTTAAGAAAATGTGTGTAAGGAAAAATTATGTGAAAGAAAGGAGAGATTCTGCGGGAATAGGATTGTTTTTCCTCTGGCCAGCCGTGAAGATTTTTAAAAGAAGATAAATTCATTCAACTAAACTGAAAAGAGAGGTTACAGAAAACTACATCTTCATTCATATATGCTTGCATATCTGTAAGAATAGATATTGCATGTTAGAAAGGTCATGCACTACTTTTCTAGAACAGATAAGGAAAGAGAAGGTTGGTACAGTTCATTATTTCGCAAGAGTCAGGACCTTGTAATACAGAATCTCTTCATATAAGTATGTTTCTGTCACCATCTTCCTTGGGCCGACTGTGAAGATTAGAAGAAGATAAAATTTGATTTCCAAAAGCAGCACAAGCCTTTGAGGAAAAAACTATGTTGAGGAAAGGAGAGAGGGCTTCAGCGAGAAACGGCGAATTTAAGAAAATGTGTGTAAGGAAAAATTATGTGAAAGAAA